ACCCATGTAGACTCCTCAAAGTCCACTAGTACGACCAGCATCACATGACCTCTACAATATGGATGACTACCCTCTAGGGACCAATGCTATTGTGGCTGTAATATCTTACACAGTAAGAAGAAAGTCAACATTTTTTTTTCATTAATGATGARGAGGGTTTCATGTTTATCAACTGATAACCATCSCCTTCTAGGGCTACGATATGGAGGACGCTATGGTCTTAAACAAGTCATCTTATGAGAGAGGTTTTGCTCATGGATCGATTTATAAGGCACAGTTTCTTAACCTTGAACCCAAGTCTCGTGGGGSAGAGCAGTCTAGTCAGCAATTTGGTAAGCTGACATTTTACATACTTAAATTTTGTAATTTTCTAGTGTATAACTTTTGTTTAATAATATAAAATAATGATAATGTGTAAAGTCCACGAACAGTATGAAGAGTGAATAAAATTCCAAGTATTCTGCCCAACAGATTCTTGCTTTTGCAGACAATATTTTCATCATCTCAAGAGTGTTCATTATAGTGCAAATTACTGTACTGGAATGATATTATAAACATAATATATCGTTATTGAACTTCAGGTTGTTTGCCAGATGACAAACGTACAGAAGGTTGGCTTGATTCTGATGGGCTTCCACCGATAGGGGCACACCTAGAGAAGGGTGATCCCTTCTATAGGTAACTACTGTTTATTTGTTGTTGGTTTGAGTCCAGTGTGATTGTAGCAAGTATTTGTGTCCTCTGCCATTGTATGATGATGTCATGTTATGCGTGTCAACTGATTGACTTGTGGTTTGGCGATCTTCTTGGTCTTTGTTGGTGTTTTACTGACACTGAACAAGGTTCACCTCAAAGCCATCCTGTCAACTTGATCAAACTAACATTCTGACACTGGCAGGCTGTAATATTGTATTATGTTTGGTTGGTGGTTTGTATGTTGGCAGCTTTGTTAGTGGATTCTCTCAGTATTGTCAGGTTTCAGTTGATGTCATTTTAGCCATGTTGATTGTACCTTTGCAAGAGATTTCTCATTGTTCAGACCACATTGTTCATATTTATCTTTTGAATATCAAGGGATGATATTTTTTTCGTTTAAAAATTAAGAGACATGCAGAACACACTGACAGTTGCTGGCTACAAAAGAATTGATGTTGGTTTATTTGAATCCCATTTGCTACAAAAATTAAAATTTAACGTTCATCGTTTCTAATTCTGTTATTTTTAGCTACATTGACAGCAACACAGGACAGGCAACCGTTAAAAAGTACCAAAACATGGAACCTTGTATTGTGGATGATGTAAGCAAATAGTGGATTTATTTTTGTCTATTATTTTGATTAAAAAGGCTTATTTAGAGATTCATAAACATGTGCAGTAAATAACAACTAGTGGGGGAGAGATACGAAGCAAATAACGGCTGCAGACAACAATGAACTGAGTTTATGAAAAGTCTTAAACTGAGCTAAACTTCGTTATTCAGGTGAAAATTATTGGAAATGAAGCTGGAACAAAACCATTAACAAAAGCTTGTGTCAAGATGAGGATTCAGGTAGACTTAAAGTTAAGTTTAACTACAAACATTCTTTCATCCATTTATCATTTTTCCTTTTCATTCATTCATTTAGTGCTGTAGTTGTTGACGTTTATCATAACTCAACATCTTTATTTTCTTTTTTTCCCAGAGAAACCCTATCATTGGAGACAAGTTTTCAAGTAGACATGGTCAGAAAGGAATCTGTAGGTTCGTTGTTTGTTCTGTTTGTTCGGCGTTTTAGTGTTTACAAACACCTGTTCTTAAGCACTCCCACGATCAGGAAAAAGTTCGCAGTGAACGTTTAACTTTTTTTTCCAGTCTGAGACCAAAGAATTGTCAATTTTCAATTTTCCAAGAAACTAGAGAATTTTAAATCTTTCTCAGAAATATTGTTAAGTTGATACTGGGTGATTTGAGAAAATGCGACTAGCCAATCAGCGCAAAGCTGGCAAGCTTATGTTGTAAACATAACCCTCCGACGGGAGGAATTTGCACAGCAAAACTCGACCCAGTGGAGTAGGCTGCCTGTCATTTTATTCTATCCGAAAAATCGAAGCTAAAACGCAAAGAGAAATTGAAAATCTTTATAAAATAGCTGTTAAATGTCAATCAAATATTCATCGTTATAGAAAGAGAATTTTATCTTAAAAATGAAAAAACAAATAACTTTTTCTTTAATACCACGAGACTCCCCTCCCTGATAGAAAAAAATGTTCTGTGTTCTACGCGGGTTCTCCATTGCATKCGAAGCAATGACCGACTTCACGAAGACTTCAGAAGGTCGTTGAAGCGACGTTCAAGTCAAAAGTATCTTAGGAGGAACCATTGCAAATCATGTTTTCTTAGCTCTTGTTTCCTCTAAGCTTTGAGGTATCTACAACATCACTGGAAGAGCTAGAGCAGCTTAGGTCCACGTATTCCAATAGAGTTAAAGCGTTTAATTTTTTTGGTACAAACAACGGTCGTAGTTCATTCTTTGTCGCATTTTCGGCAATAAGCCGCAAGCGCGCTCGACGATTTGACGTTATGTAACAGGCCAGTTACACATTTACTAGCTTTGACCTTACAACGAGAGCTAGAACGGCGACTGGGGTTTTTCGTGTAATGTCTTGATAGCGACTGTTTATGTCGAAACGACTTAAAACAAAATTCCATCGTGAAAAAAGTTCGAAAATGTTTCATATGAGCATTCAATTCTTAAAGGTTTAATTCTATAATCATTTTGTTTAGTTATGTAAATAAATTTAACACGACTTGTACTGTTTATCTGAGTGAAAGGAGAGCTGCGGGTTTTCCCTTTCCTTTATTTACATTTTCAAATATGACCGCTTAGCAAAAATGCACGGGCTCACTGGCTTACAACCTTGGCGAATTCATATGCAGGCCTGGTCGCAAATCAATCACCCAGTAGGCAATGATACAGAAAAAGGACTGAAGGGAGATGTGAAACTTGGTCATTGAAAAATTATTTTTAGTCAGTGAATTTGACTTGTTTATATCTTTTTCTAATAAGCTCTGTTCTTGTTTGTTTTATCTTTATCCCATAATCCTTTAAATAACATTGATACGTTCATTTTGTAGTCAAAAGTGGCCGACTGAAAACATGCCCTTTTCAGAGTCTGGTATGACTCCTGATATCATTTTCAACCCTCATGGCTTCCCTTCACGTATGACAATCGGTAAGTCGATTTACAAGTAATTGAAAAAATTTTGTCATTAAATGGAACTTTAGATTAGTAGAAGGTAATTTATTTTTAAATAAAAAAATAAARAATTTTAAATAAAAAATTAAAATTTTTAAAATAGACAAAAGAAGATCGCTTTTTGCTGCCTTTTAATGTAACCCTCTTTACCAAAGTATAATCGTTCTACTTCTACTTGACAACGTTGTTGCATTTGCGTATACACTCCATAAAAGAAAGGACAACAAGATCATTTACAGTCATGAACTGTMCTCTACCATGTCTGCGTGCTTTTCCATAGACTCCTTTACAAAAGGAGGCTATGGAGGCCGAGTTTAATTTGGTCATTGACACCAAGTTCATAATACAGACATTCATAAAATAATACCGTTCCTCTCTTTCTCGTCCTTTCTTTAGGAATGATGATTGAAAGTATGGCGGGAAAATCRGCAAGTTTAAACGGCCACGTGTACGATGCCACGCCCTTTGAATTTTCAGAAGATGATTCGGCTATTGACTATTTTGGGAAGCTGTTAGTAAAATGTAAGTAATTTGCTAAAGCGACGAAAATATATAAGGCAAAAGAACTGATTCCTACAAGAACTGGTCCAGTGTTTTCTAATTGAAAGATATGTTACTGTTTTTAGCTGGTTACGATTACTTCGGTACTGAGCGATTATATAGTGGTATCGATGGTCGTGAATTCGAGGCAGACATCTTTATGGGCGTGGTGTACTATCAAAGACTTCGACACATGGTTGCCGATAAATTCCAGGTAACTTKGGGGAAACAATATTAAGTTCTCAACACTTTTAATGATAGAATTGTTTCAGTTTTTTACCGTGCGGTTCGGACTGAGTGTATGTGGACAGACAGACTGAATGATCTGTGAAGGGTATATTTTCCGATTCGTTGAATATTGCAACCTTCAAATCTCAGTACATTGATGTGATTTATTGATTCGGGAAAGACATGTGATTGTCTTTACTGAAATGTAGATTATTAGGATGTTTTATTATAATCGTGTTTGTAAGTTTCGTATTGTCGAMCGTAGGTACGCACAACTGGACCAATAGATGCTCTTACCCATCAGCCTGTGCAGGTAAGGCAACTTGAATAAATTGTAATTTTGTAGCAAGCGATCATARAGTCTACGGGGAGACGTAACATTACCGTAACATTAAACGTGCTCTTACGGTCCTTTCATACCCTTATGAAAATCGTAATAAAACCGAAGGGAAGACCTATCATAATGTTAGCTTCACTTCCATTACTGAACGTTTGATATTATTATAAAAAAAATCATGGTAAATTCATGTTGTGTTTATGAATGTTTTTCAGGGACGAAAAAGACAGGGAGGAATTCGATTTGGTGAGATGGAAAGAGATGCATTGCTTGCCCATGGCACATCGTTTCTCCTCCAGGACCGACTTATGAACTGCTCTGACAGAACGATGGTATGTGCGCGGAACATTTGTTACGAATTCAAATAGACTCGCAGCAGTTTGTGGCATCTTTTCTTTCTCTCATACAGGGTCACGTTTGTACGAAATGTGGCAGCTTGTTGTCAACAATGAACGAGAAACCAGCCAATGCAGCGGCTGCAGCACAGGGTGACCGCAAGTGGTACTGCAAGTCATGTGACTCRAGCGATCACGTTGAACTATTAGCGTTYCCGTACGTATTTCGTTATCTCGTGGCTGAATTGGCTGCTATGAATATCAAGACCTCACTAGACCTTGAAAGAATTGGACATAGTACAAGATAGTACGAACTGAATAAATTATCAATCGCCCAAAATTACTTCGTAGGTCAGTGGTCTAGACTGTAAATTTTGGTTGAGTTTTTTACAGTCAGTTCTCGAATACCAGATAGCATAATATAACACTGACAATTTTGTAATATATGTTAATAAAAGAATTGTAAATAAATCATTTTTTCAAGTTCTRTATCACAGAGATTCTTGCATTGCATGCTGGTCCATTGTGTACATTGTTASCATTCTAAGTTCAGTGAAATAACTATTTTCGACTGATCAAAAGTCTCCTAAACTGGAGGTGAGGAAATTGATAGAATGGTCGGAAAGAGTTTCAGTGGACATTTTTGAACATTCATAGCTCGCTGCTATAAGGGGGGCATTCTAATCCCACCAACTGAAAGTATTCATTCATCAGGCACGTAGCGTCGTTTACGCACGTGTGTGATAGTGGCAAGGAAATATTAAAACTTTCGGGATTTTTTTTTAATAATTGTCTTTGCTTGCTTTCCCGCACCAAGGCTTCGTTAAAGAACCCTGATAACTATGAGCTGCACATGTGACTCAGGCCATTAAGAGATTTAGTTAACTTCGAGTTTGCTTCGTTACGGCAATTCTAAATTTAATGAAAACTCCTTTTGATTGGTGAACGGTGATAGAAAGACTCACAATGCATTTTTCACTTGGAATACACTATCTTTAATTACCTGCATAGTGCAAAGAATTTAAAGCATCAAGTTGCGATCAAGCATTACGTTGTCGGGAGAGTTGAAAACACTGACCCCCGGCCCGCGGACCCCTCCATGGACCACCTTCACGGACCACCCATGAAAACATTGCAAATGCCAAATAATAGATTTGACAAGAATTATTTTGCATTTTGCATTTGCTCATCCAAGGGGTGTTATGCATGCTATATAGTCAATTGAAACGCTCGCTTCCCGACCCCCGGGAAAAACCGCGAATTTAATGTTTGAGTGGCGTTGAAATAAGACGTTTCCCCTGGTAAGACTTGGTTGTTAAAATCCCCGCTAGACTTGTCCCGCTATTTTGGTCTAGTAGTGAATAACAAAACAAGCACCTTTCAGTCAAATTTTCTGTGATACACTGGGTTAATTTTTGTATAATCCTGTATAATCTTTTGCGTACTACATTGAGGCTATGGATTGTGTAATAAGTTTCTTTTAAAAATTTTTTATACATTTATACATGCCCCCGCTTCAAAAACAATTCATCAAAATCCCGACCCCCGGGGCAATCCTGCTGATAAAAGCGTGTCACTATTTAATACTCCGCTAGTCCCGGTAGTTGGGGACGGGGGTTTCGAATTAAGTTAATGATTTTATCTTTGTCACGTCAGTCCTCTACACGTTATATTTTCATTTGATTTTTTTTGCACCACAATTCCTCTTGCTTCTTCACATTAACGTTTTATAGAAATTTATAGTGCGCAGATTTCCATCAACCATCCGTGTTTGTGAAAAAGGAGTGGTCAGCGGTTAGCAGTCGAAAGAAAATTGGCTAAAGTTGATAAATCATACCATGAAATAGCATTTTCCTACTCTTTAAATGTAAATCGGCGCACTATAAATCAAGCTGTTTGAATTTTCAATATATAATGCGGCAAGCTGAAGATCGAAGCACGAGTGATTGTGGTTCAAAAAAAAAAATCAAAAGACTGACGTTACAATGCGGCCGACCGACAACATGACAAAATAAATCATWAACTTAACACCMTTTATTGGATGAGCAAATACAAAATAATCCTTGTCAAATCTATTATTTGGYATTTGCAATGTTTTCATGGGTGGTCCGTGGACATGGTCCATGGAGGAGTCCGTGGACCGGGGGTCAGTGTTTTCAACTCTCCCTTACGTTGTCTATAAATACACACCAGGCGGCGATTCCCAGGCCAAGCAACCTTGGAACCTTGAACCTTGATTCCTCCCGTAGGGGCCTGACGCGGGGCGCCCTGTTTCCCTGCCTAGAATAAACATATCCGTCTGAAAGATTCGGAAAATTGTTATCCAGGAAATGGAGTCCTTAGAGCTTTGATTTAGCTTTTTGCTGTAAATTCTCGAACGTTTTGTTCGATAAAATGTTTAGATTATTTAAACTGTATTTTTACTCTTATTCGCCTGTTATAGTTTTGAAATAAAACCCAAAGATTGCACTAAGTTTTTCTTCATTTCTTTATCAATTTCTATAAGGATTGTCATTCATCCTCCTCAATTGTTAACATTCACTATATTTAGATTTAATAATTATTTGATAATCAATATTAATCCATTTGTTAACTTATATAATCAAAACGAAAATGTGGAACGTTCGAGTGTAATGTTGGTGTTTCAAAGGTCYTCAATTGTGTGCCATTGGCATTTCGAATCTCGGCAAATCTTTAGCAACAGCTAGTATCTGCCTGTTTCGAGCCTGGTCTGTAAACAACAATGTTAAGAATTTCAAGAGATTTTTGTTGTGCTGTTTACTTGAATTCCTCAATATTCCTGTGATGAATTGGAAAACAATAACTACAATTGAACAGCTCGGTGAAAGCCGCCACATTACATCGAGTACATCGGTATTCAGGCGCAGACAAGCACTCAGCACCCTCCCCACCCCCATCAAACAATAAATCCACTGAAGAATGATTATTCAAACCCTGTATCTTTTGCTAATTCCTGGGCTGAGCTCTGATTGGCTCGCTGCTCCCAGAG